GGAACACCGCGGGATCCAGCAGGGACACTGAGGAATCCAGGCAGGGGTATCAGGGAATCCAGGCAGGGACATTGGGGGATGCAGGCAGGGACACCGGGGGATCCAGGCAGGGACACCGGGGGATCCAGGCAGGGACATTGGGGGATGCAGGCAGGGACATTGGGGGATGCAGGCAGGGACACCGCAGGATCCAGGCAGGGACACTGCGGGATCCAGGTAGGGACACTGCGGGATCCAGGCAGGGACACTGCGGGATCCAGGCAGGGACACTGCGGGATGCAGTTGCCGTTACCGGTGGGAGCAAAGATGGGGCAGAAACTGCGGATCTGGGGCTGGAGAGGAGGGAGGAAGAGGATGGACCAAAGGGAGCATCCCCCCCCAAACTGATCATCCACCCCCAAAACCGATTCACCAAACTGATCTTCCTCCCATCAAACTGATCATCTCCCCACCCCAAACTGATCAACCACCAAACTGAGCATCCACCCTCCAAGATGGTCAGTCCCCCCCAAACTGAGCATCCCCCTCCAACTGCTCAGCCCCCAAACCCATCAGCCCCCCCCAAACTGCCCTATCTCTTGCAGGAAGGAGCCCTGCAGATCCCTGATAAGGTCAGAGCACAATGGTGTGTTCCCAGGGTGCCCTAAGGGTGGGCAGGGAACATTCCAGAACAGCAGCACTGAGGGGGCATTTGTGAGAGTCACTCAAAAAACCACTTCAGTATTTCCCTATTCACTCAACCTCACAGCTTAAAATGAAGTTTTAAAGTAAAAAAAGGGCCCTCAGGTGTCTGTTTTAACAGTTCTCCCTATCCCAGAGGTAAATCCATCCCTGATCTTGCTGCTCCTCTGTGAACAGACACTTCTTCAAGGAAAGACACCCTTCCCAAAAATATTCCCTTCCCAAGGTCCACAAGAACTTTTAGCAAAGTAAAAAGTTATTAAATATAAGGGAAAAAAAAGGAGAGGGAACTGCCAAGCACAGGTGTTCAAAAGAACATAAAACTGCCATGAGAAATAGCTACCAGTGCCAAATAGAGAAGTTTTGACCATATTATTGTCTCACTGATGAAGTGGTGGCTCAGCTTTTTTAGGGCCTCCCAACCTCAACATTCAAATTCACTTTCAGTTTCTCTGAGAACAGTCTTTTTTTAGGGCACAGCGATTAGAACCCAATACCCACAGCTGGGAGAAATTAAAAATATTCCCTGCTCTGGGGCTGTTTTGTTCCAGCACAAGGAAGGTCACACAGCTGGGCCTCTGCCTGTTCCCACCACAGCTCACCCTGCAGATAAGGGAGAGCAAATTAAATAAAGGCCCACTCTGACTCCAGGCCAAGTTTTGCTTTCTCCAAAGGTTTAAACCCCACATTTTGGGTTAATTTGGAGGCAGGAAAGCTCCAGCTGGTGCCTATCAAAGGGGCTCAGCTGAGCTGCACGTTATCAGCCCCCCAAATTTATCTGCAGCAGAAGAGGCCCTTCCCTATCCTGCCCTGACAGACACACACCCCAGAGTGTGAGGGAATTCGGGTCCCACATTCCACAGGCTGCACTCCAGCCCTGGAATTAAGGATCCTGATGAAGTGCTGCAGTAACACAACCTTTTACAAGTGCTCGAGGGCTGCAGGTCAAGGATCCAACCTCTTATCATCCTCTGCCTGCTCCTTTCCAGGTGCTGGGCAGCACCTTCTGGAGCCTCCTCTGCTTGCCCAGCACCAGGAACTGCTCCCACTTTTCAGAGCCTCAGGAAGCCAAAGTCACTTCACCACGTTTACAAACACTTCAGAATTACAGGATCATGGGTTGGGGTTGGAAGGACATTAAAGCCCATCCAGTGCCACCCCCTGCCATGGGCAGGGACACCTTCCACTGTCCCAAGGTGCTCCAAGCCCCATCCAAGCTGGCCTTGGACACTTTCAGGGATCCAGGGGCAGCCACAGCTTCTCTGGGAAATCCATCCCAGCTCCTGCCCACCCTCCCAGCCAAGAATTCCTCCCAGAATTCAAGCTAAACCTACTTTCAGTTTGACACCTCAGGGTTTGCAGCCACGAGTGTCACACACTCTGTGGGACAGCCTGGCCTTGTCCCTCTGAGACACCCCCGAGTGCCACCCACCCCTGAGCTCCCAGTGCCACCCACCCCTGAGCTCCCAGTGCCACCCACCCCCGAGTGCCACCCACCCCCTGAGCTCCCAGTGCCACCCACCCCCCAGTGCCACCCACCCCTGGGCTCCCGGGGTGTCCCTGCAGGAGGGGACAGGGGCACAGGGCCCGTGTGGGGCCCCGCAGCCGCCCCTGCAGCCCAGCCCTCCTGGGCCAGTCCCAGGGGAGATTACATTTCTGGCTGTTTGCTGTGGGGAGGAGGGAGACAGAGCTTAGATTTAAAGTCCTGATCAGCTGAGCATGAACGTGGAAGATCAAAGGGTCACTCAGCACACAAGCTAAGCTTTCCCTCATTGTCCTTGAACAAAATTCCTCTCACTCCAAACTGTGGAGTAAAAAAATGCCTGCCTGTCTGCCTCCCACTCTATCCCCAAGAGCCACGGCTGAGTTTCACTGCTGGACAGTTTCTGCACTCCAATGTTTGGAGATGAAAAGCTCTAAAGAGCAGCAAGATAAATAAAACTGCAGTTTATTAAAAGAGCCTCAGAGATTATTCACCAGCCCAGCCAAGCTATTTCACAGTCTGGTCATGCCTGCAGTGAAAACAGTGGGAGTTTCGGGAACAGACACAAGCCCTGCTAAGAGTAAGGAGACATTATGAAATGGAGCTTTTCCCTAAGTCATGGCAAGGCAGGAAGCCTCTCCTACCAGTGTGAATCATCCAGAAAGCAGGAGAGCACTTCAAAGCAATCACCCCTGTCCACTGCCAGCCCTGGAACAGGGCATGGAAAGGGACAGAGGGAGAGGAGTCACTCAATTATCCCCAAAGCAATTTAAAGCAGGAGCTGCAGCTCCAATCAAACCTGTTTCGTACCTGCTGCTGCATCCTCCTCCTCCTCCTCCCACTGCTGGGACCCCACAGCTTCTCCTGGAAAACACACACAGCAGGGACGGAGGGATTATCCTCGTTAGGATCCCTCCCTCGCACACACAAGTTTGATTCCCAGTTTTCTTTGTGATTCCCAGTTTTATCAGTGCTGGTGGCGCTGGGGGAACCCCCTGCCCAAGGGGCAGGAGCTGGGTTAGAGTGTTCAAAGGGACACACCTGGGGGACACCAGGAATTGGGAGATCCCACCTGGCTCATCCTAAGGGATGAACTTGTCTCTCCTCCCACGCACAAAGACATGGATTCAGGAATTAACCAACATCAGAGACTCAGGAGGATTTCCCAGAGTAACATGGGCTGAAAAAATCAGATGTAAAACATGCAATAAAGGAAGAGTATCTTGCTTAGGAGAAGGTGTTAAAGGAAGCTTCATGTTTTCAGGGGAGGCAAAGCCCCTGGTTTCCCAGTTTGCAGCAATGAAAGCTCCAGTTCATGCCCCAGCTCCTGCCTGGCAGCTCCCACAGCTCTGCCTCCCTCTCCTCCTCTGAATTCAGTGGGAGAAAGTACCAAAAACGGGCTATAGAAACAAAAACTCCACAGAAGGGGATGGATTTGGCACCAGAAAATATTATCCCCTTACAGGTCCGAGGCAACCCCAAGACAAACTCCCCTCCCAGAAGTGCTGCTGAGCCTTTCCAGAACGTGGAATTGCAGCATTGGGAAGCACAGGTAACTCTGACTGTGGGTAACAACTGGCACAGTGTAATTAGGAAAAACACAGAGGCTGAAGGAAATCACCTACTTGGCTCACCCTGGAGCTCAGGGAGCCAGGAGTTCATATGGAAAGGAGCTTTTCTTTGCCATGAATAATTAGAAAAGCAGGAGTTTCAAAGGAAATCAGCAGTTCCAGCTGGCACAGGAGCCCAGGAACAGCCATTTTGCAGCACTTTCTAACAGGACACGAGTCCCACAGAGCACCAAGAGTGCTCACCCCGAGCTTTAATTATGTTTGCTCCAACTAAGATAATGTTTTTTCCTAATTAGAGGCATAAACAGTTTTTTTCCCCCCCTCTAATTAGAGGTATAAAGGCCAGTGACCATATCCCACAATTAAGTGGTGTAAAAGCCAGAGCTCCCATTTTGTGATGTCTCCCATTCTCCATCCATCCCACAGGGACAATTTGCCCTCAGTTTGGTGGCTTTTTGGCTCCCTCAGCATTAAGGCTCAGAGCTCACCGGCCTCCCAGGAACCTAAAGGAAGGAGGAAGCTGCCAGTTGGATGGATATTTGATCCTGGAGCGTGTCAGGCCATCCCAACAGTCACTCCATGGACCAAACTGGTTGGATTTCCTCTCCAAAAGTTTTGCCCAGCTCTGGCTCTTATTTCCACCGTACTCTTTATCTTAAGGCTCCTTATTTCCTTGACCTTTGCTGCTCCTCCAAACACACTCCACCCTCCAGTCTGGGGTGACAGTTGCTTCTCTGTTCCCTTCCTCTGATTTTCACTTTGGATCCACACAGGCACATCCCTAAATTATCCCCCCACCCCCAGTGATTAGGGATCACTCTTTAATTAGCAAAGTTAATTCTCTGTACTCACATACAACCTGTTTTTAACACCCTACAACCTCTTCCTGTGTCCGAGACGTTCCTGCCAGCTGGAAGCTGAGCTCCAAAGGCTGGGAATGGTCACCCAGAGTCGGATGGAGAAGAGCTGCCCATGGAAAGTGCCAAAAAGGATCAGGTTCCACCTTCCCTTCCCACTTCAGGGCCCTCCTGGGTGACAAATGTTTCCTCCACCTGGGAGGGTTTGTGTCACCGGGCTGGGCAATGTGAGCAGAGTTCTCCTTCAGGAGCAGATTGGATTGATTGGGAAGCGAGGAATTAACTCCAGTGCCAGGCAGTTGGAGAGCTCTGCCTAGACTGGAAGGAATGTATTAAAGGAGCAGACCACAAATCCAAAAAAATAACCCATTTTGGCAGGGACAGGGCGAGGGTGGCACAAAAATATCCTGCCTATCAATAGGCTTTATTCCTGCCAGGGCAAGATGTGCTTTTATTGGAGCTGTTTAATAATTAGATTATCCTATGAGACCCAGGGGAGGGAGGGGACCAGGAAGTGGGGCCATAATCAGCTGGAACCAAGTGAAAAACCTCTGCTTTCAGCAAAAATCAGCCTGGATCTTTTCTTTTTTTTTCCATCACAATTTAAAAAAAGGAAAGATGTAGGCCAGGCTGGGCTGACCTTGCTCCTGATGCCAGGAAACACAGGCTCCACTCTGTGTCTGCTGCCAGAGCCCCAGGGAAGAGCCCATGGATTCTGCTCAGGCCCACGGATTCTGCTCAGGCCCACGGAACACCCCAAGCCACCCACCCACAGCTGGTGGTGTCTGCAGACCTGCAGGGCCAGGATTCCCCACGCAGGCATTTGTTTAGGCTCAGCTCAGTGTCCACTCAGCTCTAAAATAAAATAAACCCACCCCTCCCTCCAAACTCATCCTCCTGATGTGCTGCAGCTCAGTAATAGTTTTCTTTAATGCAAAAGTAGAAAATACAAAGTCATTCTGCAGACAAAGCCCCCTTTCAGCAGCACAGAGTGTGCATTAAATACATTTGCTGCTCTTGGGCTGGTTTCTGAAGTGTCCCAAGGCCACTGGAGAGTTTTATGCAGAAGGGAAGACTCAAAAATTTGGGTCAGGCTTGTTGCTGGTCCAGGCTCCACAGAACTCCCACTGCATTAAATCCTGTGCCTTGCAGCTCCTTCCTCTGGCTCCAAGTCTGCACTGCCCTGTTTGCACCTCACTCACTGCACCAGGCCAGGAACAAGTTCAGCCTGGTGACACAACAATTCAGGCTCCAAGCCCTGCTCAGACCCAGCCTAACAAGGATCAGGCTCTGCCCAAAAACCCAGCCAGCAAACAGCAGCCATTCCCAGTTATCCCACAGGAAAAGTGCCCTTGTGGGAATAACCCAACCCAGAGACATCGAACTGGATCAGGAATTCCTCAGTCTTCCCAAGAGATCCCTGGGGCTGCTCTATCACCTGCACCTAAAGCCAGGTATTGAAATGATTAGTCAGGAACCAAAGCAGAGGGAACCCACCTCTACTCACCTTCTGAAGATGGGGAAGTGAAAGCAGCAGCTACCCTGGATCTTCACATCTGGATATTTCCAGCTCTCCAGCTTCATCCCAACCTTTGGGTAACCCAACCCCCCAGAGCTGGGCTGAGATGGCACCTAAAAAACAAGTGAGATTTATTAAAATGTAGCAATTCAGGTAATTTTGATGATGTATTTTCATTCTATAGAGCTTCTCTCAGTTGCTTTAAATACACCTCAGTAAATTCACCCTGCAGGAAGAGACCACAGCAAACAACACACACAGAGTTACAGGGAATTATTCTAATTTATAAACATTATTTATAAGGCAACTGATAAACCTCAGGGACTTTACAAACGTTTATTCTGCTTCCTAACAACTCCTAATTTATATCACCACTAACACAAGTGATGGCAGCTCACTCCCTGTCAGGTCTCCAGAGCAAGTGAGGCCCAAGGCCTGGAAAGGTTTCAGATTCCATGAGATCTTCAGGACCAAAAGATCTCTGATGAATCAGTGGCAATCTGGCACCTGCCTATATTTAAATAAAAGAGGACTTAAAAACCAAAAACCACTTTTGTGTCATTTTAAGATGAAACTCCATCATCAAATTTGCCAAACTTGGGGCGTCCTGTGCAGGGCCAGGAGTTGGACTTGATGATCCCTGGGGGTCCCTTCCAGCACAGGGATGTTTTGTGAGCCTACTCTTCTAAACTTTCTGGTTTAGCCTCAAAAAGATCCCACTTAAAATATTCTGAGAGTTTAAAAAGTCTGTTTTAAGAACATCATTAAGAGGAGCTCAAACCCTGGGGGGATCCCGGTGAGCAGCAGCTGCACCAGCTCTGCATCCTGGAAAAACTGCTCCCAAATTTCATTCCCTTCATCCACTGACATCTAGTGGTGGTGGCACCGTGGCAGAACCTCCAGCTGCTCCAATTCCACTTCCCTTTGTGCCTTTCCCAAGACAGACCTGCAGTTTCACCTCCAACGATTCCCAAGAAGGTTGGAAGGACCTCAAAGCTCATCCCCTTCCACCCCCTGCCAGGGGCACCTTCCACTGGATCAGGCTGGTTAGAAATTAGGCAGAATTCCTGCATTTATGGGTTTTTTTCAGTAGATTTGCAAATGAGCTCCCTGAAATGACCAGACTGGAGCTGTTCACACTCCCATTGTTCTCCTGGGCTCGACTTTAGAGCTGATTTGCACCCAGTGCTTCACATACCACACCAACTGCTCCCCAGTTCCTCCCTGCTGGGATAAGAGCTGAGGGATTTCATCCCTTCTCCAGGTTTGCCCTTCAGCATTTCACAGGAGGCTGGACACACCTAGGAGAAATGACAACCTGGAGTGAGAAAAGCAGCACCACTTGCACGACTAAGGATGACAAAACCTCCCTAGGATTAGGGGATTAAGCCCTGAGAAATTCATAATGCCTAAAGATAACCAGAGCTGGAAAGAAATCACGTGTTTGACTAAATATCCTTTTTTCCCCCTAAGTCTTTACATGAAGCAATTTATTGTGGTTGATACACAGTGTTGTCACGTTAAAACACAAGTCCAGAGGAGGTGATGGAGCAATTCCTGCTCTGGAGCCAGGCTGGGAGAGCTGGGGGTGTTCACATGGAGAAGGATCCAAGGAGACCTGAGAGCCTCTTCCAGGGCCTAAAGGGGCTCCAGGAGAGCTGGAGAGGGACTGGAGACAAGGGATGGAGGGACGGGACAAGGGGGGTGGGTTTAAACTGAAAGAGAATAGGATTAGATGGGACACTGGGAAGGAATTCCTCCCTGGGAGGGTGGTGAGGGCTGGGATGGATTTCCCAGAGAAGCTGTGGCTGCCCCATCCCTGGAAGCGTCCAAGGGTACGTTGGAGCAACCTGGGACAGTGGAAGGTGTTCCCGGGGTAGAACTGGGTCTTTACGGTCCCTCCCAACCCAAATCATTCCATGGTTCTCCATAATTATTGATAAGTGAACTCGCCCCTCAGCCCGGCCCAGCCAGAGCCGTCACACGGCTCCTCACTCGAGACAGAACCACACCGGCGAACCCCTCCAAAAATCTGCCCCGCCCGCCCCCCGCGCCAACATTTTGAGAGCAGAAAGCTCAATTAACGACAATTAACGATAATCCACCTCCCCCCGCGCGCGCCGCGGCCCCGCCCCAGCGCCCAGGCCCGGAACAGGCCGGTCCCTGAGGGGAAGCGGCGGCAGGGCCAGGAACCCAACCGCTCCCCGCCCTCACCGCAGGGCCTTCCCCGCCCTCGACCGGCCCCGGCAGCCCCGGCACTCACCGCCCTCCTCCGACCCTCGTCCCGCGGCCCCTCAGCCCGGCCCGGCCCCGCCGCTCCGCCTGCCCGAACCCAACATGGCGCCCCCCGGCAACACCGCCCGCCCCGCGCCTCGCCGGCTTCACGCCCTCACTCAAAATGGCCGCCGCCACAGCGCCCCGCGCCAAGAGCGCCCGGCCCGGATCAAAGATGGCGGCGCGCGGCTTCACTGCCGGCGGCGTCACGGTGATGCTTTGCCCCGCTCCAAGATGGCTCGCGGTCACGTGACGAGGGGTGTGGGCCGCGTCCCGGCGGAAACGTGAGGGACCGAGCAGGGAACGGCAGCTGGAAGCAGCGGGAGCGGGGCTGGCGCCGCCGGAGCAGACGTGCCGCAGGGCGGGAGACACGGCTGTCACCACGGAGCCCGCGAGCGCTAACACGGCGGCGGCCACCGCCGCCTCGCGGGCCGCGGGCGCCGGGGACCAGGCGAGCTCACTGCCCCCGCCCAGGATGCAGCGCAGGAAGGTAAGCACGGCCGGGGAGCGGGGGAGGCGGCTGGTGGGGGGTACCGACGAGCTTGGCCCGCAGCTTTCTACCCTTCCCCGGCCCCTCCGCTGCCTCTCACGGGCACAAAACTGGGGGGAAAATAGCGGCCTTGAGCCCCCTGCGCCCGCCTCCCGCGCTCGCTGATTGGCTCCCGCACGGGCACGCCGCGCGCTGATTGGCCGCCTTGCCTGTCACTTATCGCCCCCAACGGCTACCTCTCCCCCTCCCCTGCGCTGGCAGCGGGTTCCGCCCTTTGACGCTTCCGATTGGGTAGGCCGCCGTAGAGCTGATCGCGTATTGGTTGAGATGCAGTGCGGGGCTTGCCGCTGATTGGGCTTCGCGGCTGTCAATCCGCCCCCAACGGTCACCTCCCCGCGCGTGCCCTCTCCCCCCTCCCATATCTAACTCCGCCCCCCCGGTTGATGTTGCCGTGGGAGCAAGCGTCGCGCTGATAGGTCGGCTCTGCCGTCAGTTACTCGCGGCAGGCCCCGCCTTTTACGCTTCTTCGAGCCGCCATTGGCGGGTTCTTCCTTTCGCCCCTCCCACTCGCGCTGCGATTGGCTGAGGCTGGCAGGGCTCCGCTGGGTGCAAAACAAAGCGGCGCGGGGGCCGCGCTCCCGCCACCGGCGCGAGGCCTCCCCTCCCTCCCCTCATGGCGGCCGCTCTCCCCCCGCTCCCTTCACAGCGCCCGCCATCGCCGTCCCCTCACGGCTGTGCCCCCACACGAGTCCCGCCGGGGATCCCACCGTGCCCCGAACGACATTCTGGTTGTCCCCTCAGCGCGTCGTGGTTTAAACCCAGGTGGAAATTAAGCACCGCGCTGCCGCTCCGTCATCCCCCCCTCCCCTCAGTGTTTACCACCCAGCTCCTAGGTTCAGATAAAAACAATCTGATAATAAAAACCGAAGTAAAATATAATAATAGTGGTAAATAATAATAAAAAGGGGCAGCTGGAGGGACAAGGTGAGCTGGACACAGCACATGGAATAATCTGGGTTGGAAAGGACCCACCAGGATCATCCAGCCCAGCTCCTGGCCCTGCCCAGGACACCCCAGCCCTTCCAGCTGAGGTGTCTGGGATGAGGTGGGAACCTTCCCCATGGGAGAAAAAACAGATCATGGAATCCCAGGTTGGAAAAGACCTCCAAGATCATCGAGTCCAACCTGTGACCCAGCACCATCTTTTGCTTTAATAAAACCCGGCGCTCCCGTGACTTTTCCTTGGGGATCAGTTTGCAAGAAGCTTTTTATTATTAAAGGTGCTTACACTGTGTATTTATTAAAGCAATACATTTTTAGTTGAATTTACCTATCTAACATCTCTTCCCATCCCTGGAAGTGTCCAAGGCCGGGTTGGAGCAGCCTGGGTTAGCTGAAGGTGTCCCTGCCCATGGCAGAGGGGTGGGAGCGGATGAGCTTTAAGCTCCTTCCAACCCAAACCATCCCACGATCCCGTGAAATATTTCCTGCCGTATCCAAGCTGAGGTGCTCCCTGCTGACGTGTGGGCTGTGCCGTTGCAGAGGAACGCGGGCAGCAGCTCGGATGGGACGGAGGACTCCGATTTTTCCACGGATCCCGAGCACACGGACAGCTCGGAGAGCGACGGCACGTCCCGGCGATCCGCCCGCGTGACACGGTCCTCGGCCAGGCTCAGCCAGAGCTCCCAAGGTAAAGGCTCTGCTTCAAAAACCCAAAAGAAATTCAGCCTCCTAACCAAAAAATAAAGGCTCAGTGCACTCTGTGTTTAGAACCTAAACGTGTAGGATTTAAACATAAACAGGAATTTGTATTCATTTCTTTGGCTGTTATTAGCACAGCAATAAGCACCTTTACACGTACATATTGTACAGATGGGGTTGTATAATCTAAAGGTGATGGAAACCAAAACATGAGTGTGCTCTGTTCAAAAGACAAATTGTTAAGAGAAGGAGGAGTCAAACCCCATAATTCCACTGCCAGCTCTGCCTCATTTTTCTGAGAACTCTAAAAATCTCCTTTCCATTCCTTTGGTGCTGGAGCCAAGCGAGGGAGAGGGGGTTTAGGGGTGAAAGTTGGGTTTATTTCCTTTATTTGTTTGTTTGGGGGGTTCTGTGCCCCAAGGGGAGATGTATTTTTGTGCTGTGCTGCCCCTGCTGTGCGATAGACGTTACCAAATATTGGCAGTTATTTTGTGTGCTCCTACTTTGGCACCCAGGCTGTAAAAGGAGACATGGAATGAGTCCACCTCCTCTTTTTTTAGTGTTAGTGTGGGCAGTTTTTGGCTGTTAGTTCATGTGTTGCCATCTGGCATGACGGGGAGGAAATGACAGCAGATAAAAACTCATTTCCATTGCTCCTTGTAGACACTTTGATTGAAAAAAAACATGGTTGGCAATTTTATTGCAGATAAGAAATACATGTGTGTGATCATGTATTAGATCTTAAAAAGGAGAGGGAAGGTGTGTGTGGGATGTCTGTGATATTCCTGGATTAGGACAGCTTTATTTTAATACAAAATAATTGTTTTATATATATTCCTTGCCCACTGCAGGGGTTGGAACTGGGTGAGCTTTAAGGTCCCTTCCAACCCAAACCATTCCATGATTCTTATGAGCAGTGTAGGATCACAAACCCACACACAAATCCAAATCCCAAATCAGCTACAAATCCAAATCAAATCCAGATCCCAAATCCAGGTCCACACTGGAAGCTTTTCCCAAAGCTTATCTAAACACTGATAATTCTTATCTAAACTAACGGATCTTCAGCTTTCCAAAGGGAGCTGCTTGATAATTACTGGTTAATTAAGTGATTAAGTCCCGAGAAAGCTGATGTAATTCCAGACTGCTCACTGTGGGTGAAATCCCAGAGATTTTATCTGGGAAGGCCAGAGCGTGGTGAAAGTGGCAGGATAGAACTCTGCTCTTCCAGAGGTCTTCCTCCTCCTCCTCCTCTGGAGCAGGCTGTGGGGCCCAGCAGGGTTTGGGGCCAGGCAGGGTTTGGGGGCCCAGCAGGGTTTGGGGCCAGGCAGGGTTTGGGGGCCCAGCAGGGTTTGGGGGCCCAGCAGGGTTTGGGGCCAGGCAGGGTGTGGGGCTGGGCAGGGTGTGGGGCCGGGCAGGGTTTGGGGACTAGGCAGGCTGTAGGGCCGGGCAGGGTTTGGGGCCGGGCAGGGTGTGGGGCCCAGCAGGGTTTGGGGCCAGGCAGGGTTTGGGGCCTGGCAGAGTTTGCTGCTCTGGGCAGTCCCTGCTGGTTCTGGGGTGTAATTCCACCGTTCCCTGGGCTCAGACTCCAGCCCGGTGCGGAACCCGCCGCCGTTCGGGGCGGAGGAGCCAGTGTACTCGACGCGCAGGGTGACCCGCAGCCAGCAGCAGCCCGCCCCCGTCACCCCCAAGAAGTACCCGCTGCGCCAGACCCGCTCCTCCGGCTCCGAGACTGAGCAGGTGGTGGATTTCTCGGACAGAGGTGCGTGCCGGGGACAGCTCTGGGAAAACCCTCCTCCCAGGGTGTCCCCAGGGCTGGGGGTTGGAGCAGCTTTCCCCGATTTGTGAGAACCATGTCCTTCGTTATCCGTGTCCTTCTCCAGACACTAAAAACGCAGCGGATCACGATGAGTCCCCGCCTCGCACTCCCACCGGGAACGCCCCTTCCTCGGAGTCGGACATCGACATCTCCAGCCCCAACGTGTCCCACGACGAGAGCATTGCCAAGGACATGTCCATGAAGGATTCCGGGAGCGACCTCTCCCACCGCCCCAAGCGCCGCCGCTTCCACGAGAGCTACAACTTCAACATGAAGTGTCCCACTCCTGGCTGTAACTCCTTAGGTAATTCCTGCCTGGAGTGTCCCACTCCTGGCTGTAACTCCTTAGGTAATTCCTGGTTGTAACTCCTTAAGGTAATCCCAACACGAAATATCCCACTCCTGGTTTTGACTCTTCAGGTAATTCCAGCTCCAGGATTGATCTGTTGGGCTTTGCATTCCTGCCGTGGTATTCCAAGTTGAGTTATACACCCTGAAAACCATGGCGTTAATTAGGAGCAGGAATATTAAGGAGAAGTGGGATATGAAGCCTAAATGCAGGTGTATCTGCAGGGCTATTCCTGGAGGTGTTTTCTGCCTAGGAGTGACGGGGAATGACAGATAAGGACCAAAATAGGAGGATGAGCCCAGGTGTGGGAGGAAAATGCAGAGTCTTGCAGGCAGGGAACTGATTTTTGCCAGAAATAGATTTCAGCCCCAAATTCCTGCTCCACCATACCTGGCTGCTTGCAGGGAGGGCAGCATGAGAAAGATTTTCCTTCCTTTTGCCACGAAGCAGGAAGTTTGCTCCTTCCATCCCACTGAGCCTGCTCGTGTGGGGGATCTGGGAGAGCTTTGCAACCTCTTCTTGATTATTTCTTACGAGTTGGGTTGGTTTTGTGCCCCTCTGCAGGACACCTGACCGGGAAGCACGAGAGACACTTCTCCATCTCGGGGTGCCCACTGTACCACAACCTCTCAGCAGATGAGTGCAAGGTGAGTGTTTGGCCTTGTTTTACCTTCTGGGGGATTTGTAGGACAAAA